AAGACACTGCAAGACTCCAGGTGGATATCAACCAAATCTTTAAATGGGACAGAAAACAATATGAAGTTCAGTGATGATAAATTTCAATTACTCCGATATGGAAAACGTGAGGAAATTAAAACTATATCGGAGTATAAAACAAATTCCAATTACACAATAGAGCGAAAAAGACCTGGGATTCGATCTCCGGTCCTCAGCGTGTGAGATAAGTGCGCTAACCATTGAGCCATCAGACACCTAATTTTAGAAACTCCGCACCTCCTTTTAATCTCCATGCTGTGGATTCTCCATTATATTTACACCTAAATATTATGCACAACATCTCCACTGCCTCCAGCCTTCTCCATGTCGCAACATTCACCACCAGTGCTTCTCACTTATATAAGACCGTTGGTAAACCTATACTCTCGTACGTTTCCCGATTTGCTTCTGCAGATAATGTTCTTTGTCTCCACAGACTCCTCAATGCACCACTCACTTTTTTCCCCTCATCAGTTCTATGATTCATCTCGTCTTTCATAAAGGCATCTGCTGACAAGTCCACAAATATCTAAATAGATTAACTTCCTTTCTACTCCCTTCATCCAATCTGATATCCAATGTTTTATTACCTATTTTTTTGTTAATCTCATCACCTTGCTCTTTCCCATGTTCAGTTTTAGTTTCCTTCTTTTACATACCCTCCCAAACAAGTCCACCAGCCTCTGCAGTCTCTTCAGAATCTCCCAAAAGCATAGTGTCATCAGCAAAAAGCATCCGTGATAACTCTCACTTTGTGTTAGATTCTTTATCATTTAATCCCACACTTCTTGCCAACTCTCGAGAATTCACTTCTCTTACAACTTCATCTATAAATATATTAAACAACCATGGTGACATCACGCATCCTTGTCTAAAGCATACTTTTACTGGCAAGTAATATGATACATACTCTAACCTAAGCCTCATTATCCTCGTAAAAACTCTTAACTGCTTTCACTAATCCACCACCTATTCAATTCACTTGCAACATTTGCCATAATGCCCCCCTATCCATACTAATATATGCCTTTTCTATATCCATAAAAACCAAAGCCTCTTTTCCCGTATCTAAATGCTGTTCACCTGTATGCTTCACTGTAAACACTTTGTCTACATACCTCCAACCCTTCTTAAAATCTCTTTGTTCATCCGTGATCCTTCTCTCTGTCTTACTCTAAATTCTTTTAACAATTCTACCGTACACTTTACCAGGTATACCCAACAGGCTTAGTCCTCTGTATTTTTTGCACTCTCTTTTGTCCCCTTTGCCTTTATATAAAGAAACTGCATTCTCTCTGCCAATCCCTAGGTACCGTACCCTCACTCGTACATTTACTAAATAAAAGCATCAACCATTCTAAAACTATATCCCCACCTGCTTTGAACATTTCTGTCTTGATACCATCATTCCCAGCTGCTTTACCTCCTTTCATTTTATTCATAGCTTCACATACCTCCCCCACGCTCACATTTGGCTCTTCCTCACTCCTAAAAGATGTTATACCTCCCTGGCCAATGCACGAAATCACAGTTTCCCTATCTTCATCATTTAATAGTTCATCAAAATATTCCCTCTATCTTCACGATACCTCCAACTCTCCATCTAATAACCCACCTCTTCTCTTTTTTTAATTCTCAAATCTATTCGTTCCCTAGGCTTTCTCATCTTATTCATTTCACTCCAAGATATTTTATTCTCAGAAAAATATGTTGACAGCATTTTCCGCACTCTCTCATTTGTTCTCATTTTATATTCCTTCATCATTATCTTATCCTCTCTTTTTCTCCCCATAAATTAATCCCTCCTTTTAACACTTCTACTTTGTAAAAACCTCTCATATGATGACTTTTTTCTTTCATATGTTCTCTTTACCTCATTTCCTATACTCTCACTAGCCCATCTTTCTTCCAATAGTTGATTATATCTTACCCTAATTGCCTCTATTAGTTTATAAACCTTCACCTCTCAGTTACTTCCTGACATCATTCTCCTTGTAACCCATCTACCTTTTACTTTCACAGTAGCTACGACTAAAAAATATTCTGATATATCTGTTGCCCCCTCTATAACCTGCATAGCTGTATAGCCCTTGTGACTTAGCGCTTCTTTTTGATTATTATAATATAACCTGCGTATCTAGAAGTTACCCATTAACCTTTTAACCACCAATACATAATCCAACAAACTACTTTCATTTTGCACTATATCATATCTCGTATACTTATACTTTTTCTTTTCTTAAAATATATATTACCTGTCACCAAACCTCTGGTAGTGATAATAACCTGTTATACCCAGAGACCTCATGGTTCCCTTTCTATCCCTAGAAAGAGAAAAATTAGAAATAGTCACAAACATAGTTTCAACAGGAGCAACCTTCCCTTGACCAACAGCAAACCCAAAATCACACTTGACTGAGTTGACCGTGAAGTTGTAACTTGACGGTGGTCAAGCCTCTCAACCAGTGCTTTGAGGCACATCAGGTGCTGCTCCAACTAGTCAATATACACGACAAAGTTGTCCACATAGGCTTCTAAACCCTCCAAGTTGTGTGTTAACTGGTGCATAAGTCTCTGGAATGAACAGGTTGTGTTTGTTGCACAGGCTGAATTGTGTACAAGATTAGTTAAACAGTCCATACTGGACAGTAAATGTAAAAATTCCCCTAGGTGCAAGCTGTAAATGGGACTAGATAATATACTCTTAGAGGACCTAAGTGGTTGACGTACAACGCTCCCGATACAATCAATGGTGTCAAAAGTGCGGGAGAAAGGGTAACTAGCTGGTTAGGAGACTGCATTTACCATAGGTTAATTTGTACACATCCTGAAACTGCTGCCATGCATGAGAATGCATGAATGCATGACGGAGCCCAGGAAGTTTTGCTACGTTCTATCAAACTTTGAGACAAAAGGAACTCAACCTCTTTCTAAAGTGCTTCATGTTTAACAGGACTCGTACTCAACGGAGATTGCTTGATTGATGATGCACTCCATACAAAAGTGCTAATTACACCAAGTGTACAACATTGGGGAACATCTCTGAATAAATAAGGATACTGTCAAATATACTGATTAATGTGTCCATATTTGTCAGCTGTAACGATATTAAGAAAATAGTGTAGAGACTGTAGAGTTCAAGAATTCTTTAAAGGCATCTGATGTTCCAAGACACATCTAGAGACATCAGACCGTTTGATGTGATCTTCTTGCATAGGAATGACTGTAGCAGCAGATACAGGACTAGACTGCGCTAAGCTGATTTATGGAGTAGACACGATTAAAATATTTTCCAAGGTGTGATGACCGAGTAGTTAACGTCATTTATTTTTATCACTGCTTCCAGGGAATCATATATAGCTTGTATTGCATGTTTTAATACTACTTTCTGAGCCTTAACCTTATCACCAGCTCTGAAACATCGTAGAATAGCTTTTATATCATACTGCGACTTCATCGTTCCTTGGGCTGCATTACGTTTCTAGCTGCTAACCCTCTAGCAGTCTTCAAAAGTTGTTGCATAAGTGAAGATGTAGCGCTCAGTGACAGTGGGGATTTACCAGCCCTGATCTTTATCAGCACTGTAAGAGCACCACTAACTTGGTGTCTGTAATTCAACTCAAAAGAGCCATATCCATTTTTTTCCTGCTTGCTTTCTTTAATAATAAATAATAGCAGAGGTACTCCCTCATCCTAGTGTCTGGATATATGTTTACAGTAAAATCTTCATCATCGACTTCAGCGTTTAATGAAATCTTTCTAGAGCTTCTTTAGTTTGTGGATGATAACTCATGGAAAGTACAAAGGTAAAGAAAAATAATCTAACACCAGCATAGTCAACGTACAGCTTGCTGAAAGTGATCAGATCAGATTACACAGCAGGAGAATGCAACATGTAGCAGCAGACATGGACAGACTAAAAAAGTAGCCTGTCTGAAGACAGCACAGTCCCATATAAACGAAACTGAAACCTCGGTCACTGAAACTAAGCTGAGTAACATTCACTTCCCAATTACAACAGAGTGCAGATACTAGGAGGATAGGTCAAGATTTAGACTCTGGATCAAGAGTGTTGATATTAAACAACCAGAAAATGGCAAGTCGTCTTAAATCTACTTAAAACTCAACGAACATAGTTCGATAGAGAACAAGATGTAAGTCTTTCCTCACCAACGAGAGCATACTCTACCAAAATTGTCAGAGGCAAAGTGGTGAATGTATGTCCTACTCTGAAGAGCTGAGCGGAGACAGAGAGAATATGTGGACGGATGCCAGCATGTGACTCGAGTTGCTCTCTCTCTCTCCAGCATAGCTTGACAAAATTCCCAACATGCATCAGAACTGCCGAATGATCTTTAACACAGGGCATAGCCCGAGACAGCCAGTCAAGACTGTGCTACCGCAGCATGGAAACTGAGAAGTAATATAACACTTCCTACATAATTTCAAAATTAATTATAAGAGATAATGTGTGTTAATACAACAGTGATTAATATTTCTGTTCTAGCTATCAACTGTAATAAATTCTTCTTTCAATAAACCGTCCGTATCCCACCGAAGCAGGTGGCCCAAAAAGAAAAACGTAAGTTTCTCTCTTTCATTGTAGTAATATATGCAGAAGGGGTTACTAGCCCCTTGCTCCCGGCATTTTAGTCACCTCTTAAGACACGCATGACTTACGGAGGAAGAATTCTTTTTCCATTCCTCATGTAGATAAGAGGAAATAAAGAAGAACAAGAACTATTAAGAAAATAGAAGAAAACCCAGATAGGTATGTAAATGTATATGCTTGTACTTGCATGTGTAGTGTGACCTAAGTGTAAGTAGAAGTGGCAAGATATACCTGTTATCCCACGTGTTTATAATAGATATATTATTTAAAGATATAATATCCATGAAGATAAGTGGTGCGCTGTATATCATTATTTTAAGCGGCATCATAAGTATTAACATCAATACTTACAGATGTTTCCTTACAGGCACTAACAGCCATGGTGGAGGGTGAACAGAAGAGAGCTCCTTCAGGCTTCCTAGGGATGAGAGGCAAGAAGTCTCCCTACGGAGTTACTACTGACGAGGAGATGGAGGATATGGCCTCCCTTGACAAGCGAGCACCTTCAGGTTTCCTGGGTATGAGGGGCTGAGGTACGTATTAGCATATTCATATCGAAGCTATAAATCCGTTTGGATTATAATACAGTGCTAGAATAATGGAAGAAAATAATCTCTGATTCGAGAAAGAGGATGTTAGCTCCAGTTTCATGGATTAGAAACCTTTCGCCATCATTTGGACACGCGTTAAAGGATGCTGAAGTAGGCATTTTTCAGTATTCTAGATATAATAACAAAATATTTATATACAGAAAAATGCAATAAACGAAGCCACTCAATCCATAGTGTGTGTTGAGTAAGCTTAACCCTTGCATCGTTTATGTTCTCACAGTATTATTGATGCTAAGCTTAAGCTTTCAATAACTGACAAATGGTCACTTGAATTATATAATAGATTACCACATCACCTGAAAAAGTCACATTAAACTGGTGTTTCTTTGTACTTGATATCTTATTCAGTATAGTTGTTATTAATTCCATGACTTAAGAGAAGTGGTACGACCATCTCGGTTATTCAGAGTTGTGAGGTACTGACTAAGAAAGCTTCAGTGTGCAGAGTGAGCATACAGTATGTGCTTTCATAAAAGAGAAATTCCAATTAGATGTACTTAACTTACAATTCATATTAATTAGAAAACTTGAAGCCCATGGGGATCATACAGCACCTGGGAATGAGAGGTAATCATGTCACAGTAGATCCAACCGAGGGAAGGGTACAGCCACCCACAAATATCAAGGAGCTTCTCCTGAAGGAGTATATATATATATATATATATATATATATATATATATATATATATATATATATATATATATATATATATATGAGTGAGGAAGAGCCAGTTGTGAGTGTGGGGGGAAAATTCGTGAGGCAGTAGGTAAAATGAAAAGGTGTAAGGCAGCTGGGATTGATGGGATAAAGATAGAAATGTTAAAAGCAGGTGGGGATATAGTTTTGGAGTGGTTGGTGCTATTATTTAAAAAAATATATGGAAGAGGGTAAGGTACATGTGGAATTGGCAGAGAGCATGCATAGTTCCTTTGTATAAAGGCAAAGGGGACAAAAGAGAGTGCAAAAATTATAGGGGGAGAAGAGTGTTGAGTATACTTGGTAAAGTGTATGGTAGAGTTATTCTTGAAAGAATTAAGAGTAAGACGGAGAATAGGATAGCAGATGAACAAGGAGGCTTTAGGAAAGGTAGGGGGTGTGTGGACCAGGTGTTTACAGTGAATCATGTAAGTGAACAGTATTTAGATAAGGCTAAAGAGGTTTTTGTGGCATTTATGGATTTGGAAAAGGCGTACGACAGGGTGGATAGGGGGGCAATGTGGCAGATGTTGCAGGTGTATGGTATAGGAGGTAGGTTACTGAAAGCAGTGAAGAGTTTTTACGAGGATAGTGAGGCTCAAGTTAGAGTATGTAGGAAAGAGGGAGATTATTTCCCAGTAAAAGTAGGCCTTAGACAAGGATGTGTGATGTCACCGTGGTTGTTTAATATATTTATAGATGGGGTTGTAAGAGAAGTAAATGCGAGGGTCTTGGCAAGAGGGGTGGAGTTAAAAGATAAAGAATCACACATAAAGCGGGAGTTGTCACAGTTGCTCTTTGCTGATGACACTGTGCTCTTGGGAGATTCTGAAGAGAAGTTGCAGAGGTTGGTGGATGAATTTGGTAGGGTATGTAAAAGAAGAAAATTAAAAGTGAATACAGGAAAGAGTAAGGTTATGAGGATAACAAAAAGATTAGATGATGAAAGATTGGATATCAGATTGGAGGGAGAGAGTATGGAGGAGGTGAATGTATTCAGATATTTGGGAGTGGACGTGTCAGCGGATGGGTCTATGAAAAATGAGGTGAATCATAGAATTGATGAGGGGAAAAGGGTGAGCGTTGCACTTAGGAGTCTGTGGAGACAAAGAACTTTGTCCTTGGAGGCAAAGAGGGGAATGTATGAGAGTATAGTTTTACCAACGCTCTTATATGGGTGTGAAGCATGGGTGATGAATGTTGCAGCGAGGAGAAGGCTGGAGGCAGTGGAGATGTCATGTCTGAGGGCAATGTGTGGTGTGAATATAATGCAGAGAATTCGTAGTTTGGAAGTTAGGAGGTGCGGGATTGCCAAAACTGAGCGAAACAGAATGACTTCAAGAGTTTATCAGTTTGTAGTGGAAGGAAGGCGGGGTAGGGGTCGGCCTAGGAAAGGTTGGAGGGAGATGCTAAAGGAGGTTTTGTGTGCGAGGGGCTTGGACTTGCAGCGGGCATGCGTGAGCGTGTTTGATAGGAGTGAATGGAGAGTTTTTAATACTTGACGTGCTGTTGGAGTGTGAGCAAAGTAACATTTATGAAGGGGTTCAGGGAAACCGGCAGGCCGGACTTGAGTCCTGGAGATGGGAAGTACAGTGCCTGCACTCTGAAGGAGGGGTGTTAATGTTGCAGTTTAAAAACTGTAGTGTAAAGCTCCCTTCTGGCATGACAGCGATGGAGTGAATGATGGTGAAAGTTTTTCTTTTTCGGGCCACCCTGCCTTGGTGGGAATCGGCCAGTGTGTTAATAAAAATAATATATATATATATATATATATATATATATATATATATATATATATATATATATAATATATATATATATATATATATATATATATATTATGGTATAAACCTTGGTAATAAATGCCGACAAGTTGGTTTACAATGACACGCAATAAACACTAGGACATATTTATTAGAAAACGTTTCGGTCCTGGGACCTTGATCACTTCTAACATACAGAGGTTGAAAGACATAGGCGGAGAATGATGTGTGAGTGACGCATGGTGACCTGAAGAATGACATGTTGTGATGAGGACGGGTAGACGATGAGATCATGTGACTCCTGTGTTGTTGGGTTGGTGGTGCTTTGCCTGCCTGAGTATCATGCATGCTTATGTTTTAGAAATTTTGTGGTTTCCAGTGTTACGCTTAATTGTGTCGGTGACGGTGATTAGCGAGGCTTCTGGACACCGTCGGCGTCTGAGGTCTGGTTCGGTGAGAACGAGTTGTGCCTCATCCCAGTTCATCAAATGTCCCGTGGAGTCTGTGGAGGACACTTCGATGCTCGTTCATGCGGACCGCAAGATCTCTGCCTGTCTCGCCTATATATTTCTTGGGACAGAATCCACAGGGGATGGTGTAGACGCCTGCTGTGGAAGTTAGAGGTGTGGGGCTGCGTTTCGTAGTGAGGTCTTTGATAGATGATGTGTTTATGGTGGCAACGTTGCTGTTACTCTTAGCAAGTGCCCGGCGAGTATTCGTGGCAACATCACCACATGGGAGCACTATGAACTTAGAGAACTGTTCCATGGGAGGTTTGTTGAGGATAGCTTGTGCCTTGAGTCTGCAATCTTGGATGAAGAAAGATGGAAACTGAAGACCTGTAAAGGCTTGTGTTATGTAAGTACATTCTTCTTCAAGAAAACAAGGGCTGTAATAAAGTTGGTAGAATTACCGACAATATGTAAAGTAAAAGGACACATTAGTTGCACTTGTGTCCTTTTACTTTACAAAACAAGGGCTGGAGATGCGAAGAGCTCTCAAGAAGAAGCCAATGAGGACTCCTCTTTTAGTGCGGGTGTCTTGGCGCGAATAGAAGTGTATAAGATCGTCCTTGTTGGTAGGTTTTCTATACACTTTGAAGAGAAGTTTATCACTGTCGGGAGATCTGCCCAGAAGCGCTGAAAGGTATTTGGCAAGGTGGCCAGCTAATCTGTGTGGTGCACTCCCTATGCCCGAAGTGATAGGACGTAGTGAGATGCCAGGCTTATGTGTCTTAGGAAGACCCTACAGGCGTGCTGGTTTCGGTTAACCTGGTAAAAGTTTTAGTTTTTTGCCTTGTTCTGATTATCGTAACATGCTACGAGCCTTTTTGAAGAAAACTTCGGGTGCTTTGAAGTAACACTGATTCTGATACAGGCTGGTATGTGTTGGCATCATTGAGAAGATTTAAAACTTTATTGTTGTAGTCGACAGTGTCGAGTAACACCACACCACCTCCTTTGTCAGCGGTTGTAATATCATCGTTGTTAGCCAAGTCCCTGAGTGCTTGGATGTACCTTCTGGGAATGACCGGTCTTAAGGCTTAGCAGCTGCAGCAGTTATAATTCCTTGAACAAAGCCTTTTTGAAACTCGGACTCTCCAAAAGGTTGGTTCTTGATTACCATACCCACCAGATGTTTCTTGTTGATGCCGGTAGTAAACTTGAGCCCTAGGCTGAGGGCTTCTGTCTCGGTGAGTGTTAGTGTATAGGAAGATAAGTTATTTATGATTTCTGGTCGTCTCATTTCACTCCATTTGCTGTGAGAGCACAGCATATCTTTAAACGAAAGAAAACGAAAGGAACGAGAGGAACACGTAAAAGACTTGTTAATAATTATGTCAGTTGACCTTTCTCTTAAAGAACATAACAAGACAAAGATCACGACACGACAGTCACGAAGGGAAATAATGCCAATGGTGACACTCCTCAAGTCGCTAGTGCTCCCTCATTTAGAATATTGCTCAATGCAGCCTACGTTAGGCGACAATCGTTTCATAATCAGAGATAAATATCATATGTGTCTGGAACACAAACAACGTCGGTATTTTATACACATTTTAATGTTCAGTAAAGTACTTAAATAACTGGGAACGCCTTCAAGTCTTAAACATGTACCCACTGGAACTGAGGAGAGAGAGAGAGATACATGATAAGACACAGAACATCTAGTCCATAGGAAAACCTGGGTAGCAACAACCACTACAGGGAGAGAGGTTTTTAAGCGCCAGGAAGGAAAAAAAAAAAAAAGCCTGGCAGGAAATGGCAGAAATCGTACACCAACTCCGATCATTTCTGGAGTGGAATCACAGTCAATGGCCTCCATTCCAAAACAACAGATATTAGTGCTAGGAAAAAAAAGACCCCTCCCATACTGGTGTACTAGTGTGAGGTAACAGGTACACTGGTGCACTAGTGAGAGGTAACAGGTACACTGGTGTAGTAGTGAGAGGTAACAGGTAT